AAAATCACTATGCTTTAATTATGTTCAATTTGTAACAATGAAAATACATCCTGCAGATCAGATATTAACATTATGATTCATAACAGTAGCAAAATTACAGTTACGAAGTAGCAACGAAAATAATGTTATGGTTGGGGGTCACACAACCTGAGGAACTGTATTAAAGGGTCGTGGCATTAGAAAGGTTGAGAACCACTGCTCTAGATAATATGCTGATAGGACAACCAGTATGTCATATAGTCCATATGAAAGTTGCAGTTTTCATTGCAATGTAATACTTTGCAATTCTGGTTTTATATATAAAAATTGCATATAGATCAGAATTTATGTCTTTAATAATTTCCTGAAAGTTAGATTTGTCCTCTGCTGTGAGGACAAAATCAGGTTTTGAGCCTACCAGTCTGAGGACTTGACAGATTTATAATAATAATGCCTCCTCTGAGATTTCTTAGATCGTTAGCCAGATTTCTCCCAGGGAACTATAATATCACCATGCTCTCTTTTTTATCTTGAAATTTTAACGATAAATATGGGTTCATTGAATTAAATTGTACTAATGCCCTAAATCAGTGGTCAGCAAACTGTGGCTTGCGAGCCACGTGCGGCTCTTTGGCCCCTTGAGTGTGGCTCTTCCACAAAATACCGACTTCTGCGCATGGGCCACGAAGTTTCCATCGTACTGTACATGTGTGCCCGCATGTGGTATTTTGTGGAAGAGCCATACTCAAGGGGCCAAAGAGCCGCATGTGGCTCGCCAGCTGCAGTTTGCCAACCACTTCCCTAAATGTACTAAGTAAATATATCGATAAACTAAACCATAGGTGATATCTGATATTGTTTGAATCTGAAATTATGTGTGTCATCTCAATATACAAGTATATAGTAAATTCACTTCCACAGTCCTGGTCTTTCCTTTTATAGTTTTATATTTGGTCTATTTCAGAGACCTGATGGTAGTAAAATAAAATAAATCCTTAGCAACAGCTAATAGTTCTTTTCTCTATGGAACTTGTAGAAAAAAGGCAATGGTGAGGATCTACTGAAAGATGAGGTCTACTGCTGTGTGGCAAGTGTGTAGCACCCAGCAGTGATTAAGCAGGGTGACAGTTTAATTATTTTTAGCTTAAAATTGTTCACGGTGCTTCACAAACGCAAATGTTGCTTTTTCACCTTGTCTTTTAAAATGCTTTAGCACACAAATAGAAACTTTCTTATTAAAAGTAGGGAGGGAAAAGATGGGTCAGTTATTTTAGGATTATAATTGTCTACCTGCTTGCTAAGGTATTTCCATAGGATGGAATATTATTTGGAGTCAAAGATTGAACTATCCCACATGGCAGAAAGAACATTAGTTCTATTTTTAGCTGTATCCACTCTAACTTATGTTTTTTTTTAGCTTCTTCATAATTCTTGTCTCATTATTAGGAAAATAAAATGAAATTATATGAGAAAACAATAAGCTGAAGCTCCTAGTTTGGGATCTGGCACGTAAACGGTTCTCAGTGAATGATAGTTTCTATTATTGTGATCATCAGAATTACTGCAACTATTACTATTATTATTATTATTATGTTTTAACCTTTTTAAAAATGTACCTTTATTGATTTCAGAGAGGAGGGGAGAGATAGAAACATCAATGATGAGAGAGAATTATTGATTGGCTGCCTCCTGCACACCCCACACTGGGGATCCAGCCTGCAACCCAGGCATGTGCCCTGATCAGAATTGAACCATGACCTCCTGGTTCATAGGTCAGTCTTCAACCACTGAGCAACACCAGCCCGGCAGTTTATTATTATTGACCTTGGCATCTATTAGACAGTGAACATATATGCCTGGTTACTGTAGAGAATATACATGAAAGATGTTCCTTGACTTTAAGAAACTTAATATTTAGTTTCCTGGCTTCAAGGAGCTAGGATTCTATTCTAGACCAACTATAAGAGACATTGCAATAATAATTAATTATCACAAAATAATTGTGTAGCACCTGGGGTGCTTATTTGAAAATACATTTCTCCTGGATCATCTCTGAATATAGTAATTTGGGAGGCCTGGCATGGATTGGTTCATTTTTATCTTTGACTGGCTATCTAGGGGATTCTCATATGGGGTTTTGAATGAGTGGGTTCTGAAAAAATTATATTCAAGTACTTCAGAGCTTTTGAATGTGTATTTGGCTTATATATGTGTGATTGTCTTGGACTGAACAAGCTTATTACGGTTACTTGACTGAGATCTGAGTTTTGTTTTCTCTCAATTTTATCTATATGCTGTTTGCTACATATATTGTTTTAATTATATTTTACTAGAGGCTCAGGGGGGCCCTCAGCCTGAGAGGGCATAGGCCAGAACCCCTCAGGGGATATCCCTAGGGGATCAAGCCTAAGCTGGCAGTCAGACATCCCTCTAGCAGCCCGGGAGCCCTCGGGGGGTGTCCAGCGGATGGGTCAGGCCCGCTCCCCATGGGTAGTGCTCCTTAGTGCTGCCTAGGAGGTGGGAGATGCTCCTGCTACCACTGCTGTGCTCGCAGCCCTTAGCTGTGCTTGTGCTGAGTGGCGCTCCCCCTGTGGGAGCACACTGACCACCAGGGGGAAGCTCCTGCGTTGAGTGTCTGCACTCTGGTGGTCAGTGTGCATCATAGTGACCAGTCATTTCTGGTCGGTCCCCCATTAGGGTCAATTTGCATATTACCCTTTTATTATATAGGATTACATTTTGGATAATTGAAAGCTTTTGGTAGAGCTTTAAGCTTTTTATGTAAAGCTAAAAACTCTCTAGCGAGTAAAACACCTTCAAGGTTTTTATTACCACCTTAAAGCTTATTTCTTTTATATGTTAAATTAAAATTCCTTGACGAATCCACAGGATATTAAAGATGCTGCATTGCATTTTGTATGGGCTGAATTTGACTTCTGTAAGAACAATTCTGCAGGTAATTCTCTGTCCTTTGTGAAATTTTTAGGTGAAATAGCATCTGGCTCCCTGAGAATTGGCGCTATTAGTACACCAATCTATAATGCCCACGAGAAAATGAAAGTGCCTGATGTTCTGTTCTACGACAACATTCAGGTAAAATCCCTGCTTTGCATTCATGGATAAATCACCACTTATATTGTAGTAGTTCATTCTGATTCAAGTGAAACTGTTTAATTATTTTTATAATTTGCTAAATTCAATTCAGATGATGCAAAGTGAAGTGTTGAAACACCTTCCATTAATGCATTATGACGTTGGAAGAGCTGCTGCTATGAGTAGAGTATAATAAATTTTATATGCACACATATACTATACTTCAGGTTAATAAAATGAATATATTATTAAATTAAAAACAAAGTAGAACTAATATCCTCTCTTTTGCTTTCCTATTGGTTAAATAATTTTAGTTTAAAGGAGGATGTGTCGTATGCATTCTTTTGTTTTTATCCTCAGCTGAAGATGTGCTTATTAATTTTTAGAGAGAGAGAGAGAAAAACATCGATGTGAGAGTGAAACATTGATCAGTTGCCTCCTGTATGGTCCCCAATCAGGGTTCAAACCCACAACCTAGGTATGTGCCGTGACCAGAATAGAACCTGCTACTTTTTGGTGTACACAACACTCTAACCAACTGAGCCACCTGGCTGGAGCTGCATTCTTTCCTTCATATTCTTTTCCTTTTTTGGAAAAATTTTAGTACCTTTACTTTTCCTTCTTTTTTTTTTTTTTAAGGGAAGACAGTAGACAATTTCCACTTGCAAAACCTATAATTATGGTCCTTCTGTTAAGACAGAAATAAGTGTGTACACAGAATGCTTTATTGTAAATGTTTACTTTAATAAGATTTTTTTTCCAGAGAAAATCACTCATAATAAAAATAGTTTTTCCTTTCCAGATTTTCTGTCAATTGGTTATTTATTTTATAATAGAACACATACTAAATTTTTTTCTGTAATGTTTGGTGACTAATCTGCATGTAAATAATAGCCTTACATTTACAAAGTATGTTAGAAAAACTACCTACTGTTTTCACTATATTAAGGATTTAGAGATATTGAAGTAAAATTCCTTTTATCTGCCACTTTCCAACTCTATTTGTTGTTCAATGAGTGTTCTAATTTATATCCCTATGTTATATTAACAACATTGAAGTTATCTAGGCAAATACTTCTTTCTCAATAAGAATATTAATGAAATATTCTGAAATCTGTTAAAATTTTAGTTATCATCTATAGCATAGCAAAAGGCATAACCCAATTTGCTTTTTATTCATTATGTAGCCAGTTATCTAATATAGATTTTACTTTCTTCCAGAGCATTAATGTTCTTATATAAGCAGTAGACAAATGAACAGAAAATAAAGATACTTATAAGACACAAAGGAAGAAAAACTTTTTCCTGTCAATAAAGATAAAAACATAATTGTAAGGAAAATATACTATTTTTAAGTATTGATATCACACTCTGTCCTTGTAGTAGAAAAGAATAAAGAAAAAAGAATTAGGAAACTTTGATATAAGTGAAAATTTGAAAAACTCCATGGTAGCAAACATTTAAAAGACTTGCCAGCATACAAGAATGTAGGATTCAGTAGCAGGGAAGGCCATGTGTCTTTGAACATAGTGTCTGTTGCCATGGTGCTTATGACATAGACATTGAGGTCCACAGGGCTGCTGTGAACTTTACACAGTGGCCCTGAGGGACTTTCTGTAGCCTGGCTCCAAACATACCTTCTTTTCATAAAGCATTACGAATTAGCTCTTAATGAAAATGTTTAGCTGTACCAATTCTAGGGACAGTGTCTTGATTAAATTTGCTTTTGTTGCATTCATTACTGTTTCCTTTTATGCCACACTCCATCTTTGAAGCAGTAGTTTTCAGTGCTTCTTGAATATTTAGGTGCTTCTTTCTCCTCTTGTTCTATGCTCTGTGGTCCTCTTACCATGTTATGTTGAAACTGATTTTTTAAATGTGTTTTTCAACATTTCCAGGAAACATTATAGTGCTTGGCATGGAGTGACTGCTGAATAAATATCTGTTGAGCTAATTAATGAAAGGATGAATAAGATTTTAAGTGTTCATAATCAGGAATATTATTTCATTAAATCTGTGACTAAGGAATATTACACTTGCAGCAATAAGGAAGAGAAATTACAGGAGAGTTTAATAGCCTTTTAATAAGCATAATGAGCTTTAGATCTGAAAAAGTTAAACAATATCTCCCATATGTCAAGCCTTGTCATAAGGTATTAGAATACTGAGATGAAAATACACACATGTACGCATATACGTGTGTGCACACACATGTACACAGTTCCAGGGCTGGGTCTGTCAAGGGGGGAGAAAGACACATAAGTACACATAGTTACTCCACAGTAAGATGGAGGTGCACGCAGGTTACCATGGTAGCATTGAGAGGCTGGTCCCAGATTGGAATGATCATGGAAAATGAGTTAACCAGGCAAAGTTGAGAGAGTCTCTCAGGCAGAGAGACTAGCATTTGTAGAAACATGACTATGTGAGAGAGTAACCAATTTAGGGAGCTACATATAATTAATTGTCATTGGCATAGAGCTGAGGTTGCAAATGGAAGAGTGATACGAGATGAGGCTGATGAGTTAGGAAAGAGTCACATCTTCTGGACCTTGCTAATTAAGGAATTTGGATGCTATTCAGAAGAAGTGAGGAAGCCACTGAAAGTTTTAAGCACATTTCCGCTTTTGCTAGCTTTGCATTCACTCTTTAAAGTTGCCTGTAAGTTGGGACCAAGGCAGAGAGAGACCAGGAGGCTGTTGTAATAGTTCAGGTGAAAGTCATGAAGGATCTAAACAAGGCAGTGCCAGTGGGGACAGAGTAGAAAGGATACATGGCAGGGCTGTTTAGGAGGTAGAGTCAGTGGAACTTTGTGTGAGATGAAAGACAAAGATTCTCCCCCCAGAAGCACATGATCTGGTGGAAAAGTTAAAAAATAAATAAAAAGAAAGCTATTTTAAATTGTGCCTATGACTAAAGAACACAGTGTAGGAGAAGGAGAGTGCTAGGAGATGAGACTGACTAAATCAATAAGTTTAGGAGTGACCTTTTGATTCTAAGGTATTAGGAGTCTTTTAAGGAATTTTGAAGAGAGAAGTGACACGATTTTGAACAACAAAGTGACATTCAGTACAGGTATACCTCGGAGATATTGTGGGTTTGGTTCCAGACCACCACAATAAAGTATATAGCAATAAAGCAAGTCGTAGTCCTTTTGCTGATGGAGTGTTTTACCTTCAAATTGTAAAAAGTGCAAAAGCTGTGAAGTGTGATTAAGTGAAATGCAAAAAAAACAAAACAAAAATGAGGTATGCTTGTACTGTAGAGAGCATGTTGGCTCAAGGAGGGACTTAAGTTAGAGAAGCCAAATTGGCTTATAAAAATCTAGGCCAGAGATCATAAAAACCTGAAGGAAAACTGTGGGAATAAAAAGAAAAGGATAGATATACTTGACGTTTTGGTGGCCCAATAGCTTAGACTTGGTGTTTAATTGACTCTTGATAAAGGAGGAGCCAGGTGGTGGAAAATGATACTATTAATCAGGATAAAAGATACAGGATAAAGAATGACTTTGAGAAGAAAGTAATGAGCCAACTTTTGGATATACTGAGTTTGAGGAGACTGGGAAATAACCTAGTAGTTCAATAGTTACTCAGAAGTACAGGGCTAGAGTTGAGGAAAAAAGTCTTGCTGTTGAAGATCAGTGTAGAGTTGGTAGTTGAAGCCATGGGATGGATGAGAAAGGAGTTAGGAGAGTAGGGTCTGAAGTAGCTCTTCGTTACTGGAGTGGGGCTCCCTAACTCTGCACATGGTCCTTTCTTGGTCCTCAAGTGGATGCCATGTTAGAATAGACACAATCTCCTGTGCCCTATCCTGTCACCCCCCTCATCCCAAGAAAGCATGTAAAAAGATGGAGAGAGAACAGATGAAGGAACATAGGGAAAATTTAAGGAATTACTACAAGAAGAGCCAATTCAGAAGACTATGGATAGGAATTTTAGAGAGATAGGAAGTAATCTGTAGAGACAGAACTTGGAGAGGAGACTTTTAAGGAATTGTCTGTGGTAGTAAGGGGGCCAAGAGGTTAAGAGAAGAATGATGTAGGCGTAACCTGAGCCTTAGCTAATATTTGATTTGAATAATCTAGTTAGATGTAATGAAGCGTGAAGTAGAAGGACATAAGAAAAAATAGACTATAGATATAGCTTGGGTTATTTTTCATTTACTTACATTGCGTTTTTACCTGGCTAGACAGGTGCTCACTCCAATTTTTCTATTTATGCAGATTAGCCCATTTATTTCTGGGAGAATTTAATGTTATCTGGAAGTTGATAATGAATTTTCATCTTAGTCAGAAGGAAGAGGTCTCCAGACCACATTATAACTAGAACCAGATTAAGAGTGTTCTAGGACTCCTTTGGAACTAAGGTAACCATATACCTTGGTTTGCATATTGTCCCAGCATAAATATTGATAATGTCTCTTTTTATTCTTAAAAGTGATCCAGGAGGGACAATACATTGACATAACCCTACTCCAAGCCTTCTTAAAATTCTAGCTCCATGGTGTATCTGAAAGCATTTTAAAAAATAAAAACCTCCAAGGTAAACATTAAGGAATACTCATCTTTTGAAGAAGGGAAAAAATTTTCTCAATTTTCTCTTGAAAAAAGAAACTCTGAAAGAAAATGTTGCTTAATTTGACAAGTAAAAGGAAAATGTTCTAAATATCAAAAAATACATAAACCACATTGGGGGGAAAAAGCAAGTGACAATCTAGAAAAATATCTGCAGGATATATTAGATACAAAATGAGGAGCCAATTTAAGCAAAAGAGAGAGAGGCTTAATCAGATTTTAATACTGAAACAATCAGATTCCTTTCTTATCAATTTCATGGCTTCAGTTACCAACTCTACTCTGCTTTTCTTACAACTAGGGAATTCAGTAATTTCAGTACTTATCAGACCTGTATTGTTTTAATACAGAAAACCAGGAGAAAGTATGGATATTAATTGTTCTGGGATAGTTCTCCCCTCCACCCCCACCTTCTGAGCCTTTGTAACCTACTAATAGTTGTCCTATTTTTTAAGATACAAAAGAGCAATGGGATTTCCTTTGTGGCTATTGTGAACCACTTTAATTTTGTTCTTTTATTATTTTGTGTCTTAATTTACATTAAAAATGTGGAAGGTGGATTATATATTATTAATTCTAAAGCTGTTACATCCTTTGAAGGTAATTGTTAGGATAAATAAGTGTAAAATCTTCCTTTATTGATTAAGGTATTACATATGTGCCCATCCCCTGCTCATGTTTTCACCCCCCCCCTGGTGTCCGTGTCCATTGGTTATGCTTATATGCATGCATACAAGTCCTTTGGTTGATCTATCCCTTTTACCCCCACCCTCCCCTACCTTTCCTCTAAAGTTTGACGGTCTGATCGATGTTCCCCCAATTATTTTAGAAAACGTTTGTATATTTATATAAGCAAGTGTTAATTTAAATGCTATATTAAATTATAAACCAAGTCTACATTGTTTGATAGCTGAAAAATATATTTGAAATACTGGTGAGTGGCTTAGTTTTGCTCAGGTGTACTATTTCAGGTTTTTAGTATCAGTGACCTAATTGGTTATATAACTGACTTATAACCACAGCATTAATTTTTGTTGTTTTTTTAATCAAATTGTTTAGGTATTATCTATTATGATAGATGTTTTCCTTTCCATTGAAGACATCACTATAGTTAACTTTCTTATTTTACCTTGATTGTGCAAAACACAATTAACCTTGTGTTTTCTTTTTCTCTAGCATATGATAGTGATGGAAGATATGCTCAAAGACTTTCTTCTTGGAGAACATCTGTTATTGGTTGGTAACCAGGTGAGTTATGGTTATGGCTGGAACTCAAGGTACTAATGAATAAGTGATAGTAACAGTATAAAAGCAGTAAGCTTTTTGTTTTTGTTGGAATAAGTTTTTAGAAATGATTCTTTTTTTTCTTACCTAAATGACTAGTTTAATTAAATGATGAAGGTCTTCTACCTTCTAAACTTTAGAGTGACCTCAGGGTTTAAATCACCCCCCATTTAATCACCCACCAAGTCCTGTCTATTATACCTCATAAATATCTACTAGCCCATCTCATCATCACCTAGCACCTGGGTTATAGTACTAGTTTTCTAATATAGTTCCACCCAGAACTTAGTCCCACTTTGATCTACTCTCTCCTCTGCAGCCAGATTGATACTTGTAAAACTAAAATCTGATTAAGTCTCTCTTTTTTGTTTAAATTGGCCTGCACTGCCCTTAGGTATAGTCTTCAGTATGGCTTTCAGTTTCCTGCAGGATCTAGGCCAGTGATGGCGAACCTTTTGAGCTCGGCATGTCAGCATTTTGAAAAACCGTAACTTAACTCTGGTGCTGTGTCACATATAGAAATTTTTTGATATTTGCAACCATAGTAAAACAAAGATTTATATTTTTGGTATATATTTTATATATTTAAATGCCATTTAACAAAGAAAAATCAACCAAAAAAATGAGTTCGCGTGTCACCTCTGACACGGGTGTCATAGGTTCGCCATCACTGACTAGGCCACCTTTCTACTCATAAGGCTTGACTCCCTCAGACACTCTATTAGCCAGAGCCACTCTGGACTCCTGTAGTTTCTTATCTGGGCTCTAGTCTTTGATGCATGCTCTTCTCTGCATGGAGCACTCCCAGCCCTCTTCCCAGACCCCCCTTCCCCTAACTCCAAGGAGGTTTTAGCTAGTCCCTGACTGAGTTAGGTTTCCCCTGCTTCTCTGTGTCTTTCTATCTCCCTTTCATCACACTAGTCATATGTACTGTATTTGTGTGTACAATGATGTCTTTCCAACTTGTCTATATGCTCCTCAAGGGCAGTGACCACACTTCCCTTGCTCATCTCTATATCCTCAGTTTCTAGCACAGTACCTGCTATATAGAAGATATTCAATATGTGTTTCTGGAGGGAATGGATGAATATTTTATATTTAGGAAGGTTCTGATAATTTTCCTTAATTGAATTGTCAGACTCACAGTAAACAGCACCTTTGGTTTTTTAAAATTGGTTTTAACTTAAGGATAACAACTTTTCAGGAGTTTGGTCTTTATTTTTCCTTTTTTTAACCTATAAAAACAAAACATAGTCTTTATTTAGTTCCTCAAACTTACCATTTTAAAGTGCTGACTTTTCTTTTTACAAGAAGTGGGCCAATTGAGTGGTTTGCTGGTTGAGTGCACAGGCTTGGCAGTTAACTGGCTAGAGGTCCAATAGCAATACTTTCATAGAGAGCTGTAACTCTGGGCACATTGCTCATTTTACTGAGGCTCAGTTTCCTTAAATCTAACCTGTAGCACTTTATTGGGTTAATGTAGACATCATATAGGTAAATCTGTGTATCACTGTACTATTAAAAAGGACTTTAATATTCTCTTGTTTCATTTTTTTCTAAATGATTAAAAGGAAAGTGATAAATTATTCATGGTATTTTTTTACTATTTGAAAAGTTCTACCTACTCTTATATACTGAAAAATCATTTTTCCTGATGAGTTTGTATATCACAATAGGAGGAAGATGATCAGTTAATAGTCCAGTATTCAGTCCTTAATATTTCTGAAGCCCAAGGAGTCAGGAGATTCTAAGAGAAATTGACTAAATGTTTTATTTTGTAAATTTGCAACATTTTAATGAAGGAAACAAATTCAATAGAATCTAGGAGGTGTCCACTTAATAGTTAAGTGGCCCATTCAACTGGACATGGTAACATACTGAGAGAATCAGAGACTGGCAGCATTATCACTAGGAAAGAATAATGCAATACTAATTATTTTTAAATTTCTAGTAATAATTAAGTGCTAATTAGTATTTAGCTAATTTAATGAGGTCTAACTTTGTGCATGCTTACATATGCCAGGTCAAGGAGTGAAAATTGGACCAAAGTGGTGGGTTAAAACTACTTAATAGAACTTTTTGAGTACTTTATCCAATTTCAGTTCCTCTCAAACTTGTTTTCAAAAGCTAATGTTAGTGTTAAGATCTCAGAAAG